CACTTTCTGGTGGGCACCTTCTACTTGCTTCATGGATGACTGTCTTCTTGCTATGTCCTCATCTGGGAGAAAGAGTCAGGGGTCTCTCTGGGATCTCATATAAGGCTAATAGGAACATTCATGAGAGCTGAGGGTTTTAGCCTTATGACATAATTCTGTGCCACATGTCCCCCTTCCTAATGTGCTATAGCAAACTGGGGTCAGGATCTTAATCTGAACTTCAGGTGGGCATAAATATCTAGTCCAACATGAATACTAACCTTGAAATTTTAAAATTTTTAGCAGACATAAAAATTGCACATATTTATAGCATCCAAGTGATGTTTGGATGCGTGCACACATTGTGTAATGTCCAGTTAGGCTAAACATATCTTATCTCAAACATATAGCATTCTTTTAAATTGAAAACATCGAAAGTACAATCTTCTAGTTTTTTTTTTTTTCTTTTCATACAGGTTATTGTTGATAGTCCTTATCTATATGCCTGTGCAACAGTGGTCTTTCTACTGTTTGCTTGTTAAACATTATGGTTTGTGGTGCATTAAGCCTATGATTATAAAATGATTTGAAAGTAGGTTATTGCAAAACTTATAAAAAAAGGGAGTGAGGAGATTGTGGGAGGAAAAATGTTTATCTTAGAATCATATCTATGAAATAACATTAAACTGGTTCACTTTATATTAATAAAATTTTTCTAAAAAATGAAAGTGTAGTGCCCTAACTTATCTATAGTCACTCTACTGTGCAATAGGCCCTCTGAAGTTCTTATTCCTATTAGCTATAACTTAGTACCCATTAGCCAACATTTTCCTATCCCTCCCAGCCTCTAATAACCACCATTATAGTTTTAACTTCTATGAAATCTTCTTTGAAACAAGTGTTGAAGATGTGTGTGAAACTCCTAGTGCATAGTTATCTCTCATTGTAAAGGTGTTTCATTATGACTTAGGTACAGGGGTTGTACAAACGCTTATGAAAGTGATGGTCTCTAAGATATCTCAGTAAGAATGAGAAAGAACAGCAGATGATTGGTGAGGGAAAAGTGTCCTCCTCACAGTCCATTTTATTTGTAGAAAAATGAGTGGAAGGAAGGGAGATGAGCATTGAATTGAAAAGATAGTGTGACTGCTGATCTATTGCACCTTAGGAGTTAGCTTCACCCTGTTGGACTCCTTATATCAAAGAATGGCAAAGAACTGGCTGCCTACTTTCCCCATGAGCCAAGGATGTTTACTATTATTAAATGATTGAAAATTTTCAAATTGAGAGGAATGTGCCACAGAATGTAACTCTCAGTGTCTGTTCATGAGATATTATTGATGTACATCTGTGTGCATTCAGTTCTACGTGGCACAGACTGTTCATAGAAAAAGTTTGCACATTCTTGCATTGAATGTAACTCTTCTTTTTAATCCTGCATGTTATCGCCCCTAGTGACAATAAATTTTGAGGATCCTATTTTATAGTTTGGGAAGTAACATAGCAAACAAACTGCTTCCTTTGTCTGTGTCTCCAACGTAGATGCCTCTTGCCTGGAGAACGACCAGGTACTAGCATCATCTTGAGGTTCTGTAGCTTCACTGGTTCGAGTCTGTCACTCATGGTGGATCAACTCAGAGTTGATCCCAGAGTCTTGTTAATCCTGCTTCATGGTTCCTATTGTGGCTTCTGGTGTGGACACTGGTTTGGTTAAATTTTCGAATACGTACATAGTCTCTGATCGTATATGGCTTCAAATGTTGAAGAGAACTGGCTTAGATGATACATTTTCCTCCTTACTCTTATGCCTCTTCCCTCACTTGTTTATTTTTTCAAGGATAACCTTGGTAATTGCATGTAATAGTGATAGAATGCATTGCTCTTATAGAAATCAATAATGAGAAAGAAAAACATTAAAATTTTATTGCACAAATTTATTAAGAATTCTATCCATCACACCACCTCTCTGACAAAGCTCTATCTTTGGCTTATCTCTATATGATCTGAAATGATTTTGTATAGCTATTCTTTTGTCTGTATTCTTGATTCATAGGCTTTCATATGAACTCTTTGCTTGCTCCATTTTCATAACAGCTTCTAGACAACTAGTCTTCATGCATAAGATTATGTTTCTTCATGACTTTGTAGCATCCAGATGTCTTTACTTCATGTTGCTGCCTTTTTACATGTTTAGTAAAAAAAAAAAAGTTGCTACAGAATAATTGCATTCAGTTAATTTTAAATTATTTTAATGGTGAGAAAAACATTTACATTAATTCAGAAATACTTAGTATCCCTTGTGGTAATGTTGAAAACATGAACGAATATCTTAAATGTTATTGTAGCTTCGCATTAATTTGAAAGGAGATGTCGAATAGGAATCTTAACATGTTATACTATATACAGACATGTAATATTAAGAACACATTTCTCCTTATTCCTTGTAAAGAGGGACAGAAGAGAAAACTGAGAAGCCTTTTTTCCAAATAACGAGTAGGTAAATAAGAAAAATTTATTCTTGGCAGTTCAATATGTTCATTTGCATCTTTGGCCCCAAGAAAATGTTAATGACTCAACCTGGTTTATTCAAAGAGAAGTTACATCATAATTACCTGAAGAAGCTTTAAAAAATAGATCTGCCTATGCCTCAGCCTGGATCTGCCAAATCAAAATCAGGTGGGAAGAGACCAGGCCTCATGGGTTCTGATTTTCATCCTTATTGAAGACCACTGGGCTGGACTCAGTATTAGATACAAACAAAAATTAGAACAAACAAAAATGGTTACCTCATACAAATACTAGTTAGTTAATGTTTATGACAACACTTATTATATGCCCAAACTTTTTTTATGTGGAACCTCAGATAACACTTACACTTTTTTTCTCCTGAAACAATTTTATAAAGTTTTTTGTGGTCAAGAAAAAACCATATACCTGCTTGTATTTCCTCTCCTGTCTTCTATTTTAACCATCAAGATTTCCTAGATCAAAGGTATAATTCATTTTAAGGCTTTTGTGGACTGGCTGTCCTTATTGTACTTTTACTTTTCCTCATTCAACAAAAAATTGTTGAGCATCTTATATAGAGAAAAACATTGTAAGTACTGGGAATAATAGTGATAAACAGAGCAGTTTGGGTTTACAACTTAGGGGGTGAGACAGATGTTAAATAAACATTTTGGTAAATTTGCACTACATAGTGCAAGCCTATTTATTTTGGGTTTCATAAAGCTATAACTTGGAAAATTTATATTTTTACCTCATTTTAACCAGAGATTAGCATGGGTTGTCTTTATTGAATGTTTATATGCAAATACACATATAATATACAGTAAATATACATATACAAATTCACATATACCTATTATATATATTTGCTTATAAATGTATATGATATTGAAAAAGTTCATTAAAATGCACAATATGAAAAAACTACATGTCTTTCAAAAATGTTTTGCACCCAAATCAACTTGAATGGAATTATGAAATAGTTCCATTTTATAAGTTTATTGAAGTACTCTCATAAATGTGTTTTATTATATTTGATATAAATAGTAAATACACACTACTTTATAAATAGTATAGCATACACTGTATATGTTATGTGCTTGTAGGTTCTATTTTGTATTTATCTAACTGCACTGCTTTCTTTATTTTACTAAGTCTCACATCCTTTATGGAATAATTCAGAATATATATACATGTCTACATGTGTACACACATGTATGGCCGTAGAAGTATGTATGTATATAATGAGTGCATTTGGATTACAGTTTTCAGCATTACAATTTAACTCATATTCTTAGTTTTTATTTTAAAAGATTTATTTTACTTAATTGCAAGAGAGAGTTACAGAGAGAGGGAGAGACAGAGAGAGAGAGAGAAAGAGGTCTTCTGTTTGCTGGTTCACTCCCCAAATGGCCACAGTGGTCAGAGCTGGGCCGATCTGAAGTCAGGAGCTTCTTCCAGGTCTCCCAAATGGGTGCAAGGGCCCAAGTGCCTGGGCTATCTTCTACTGCTTTTGCCAGTGCCCATAAGGGATGCTGGTGCCACAGGTGGAGGATTTAGCCCCCTATGCCACAGTGCCAGCCCCCTTAGTCCGTTTTTTCATATATATTGACAATTAAGTGGAATATGCATGATATTTCACAATGTTTCTCCCATTCTTTACTATTTTAATAGTTTTTGCTTTACATCATTAAGTATAAAGATTATTTGGGGACAGTTTTTGGAGAGTCATCAAAAGCTCTTTGTATCCATGCAGGAAGTGAAGCATGCTCTCGTCACAAACAACTTCTGCCCATTCTGTACAAAAGGCTGTTCTTTGATAGATGGTGTTTCACTCGCGCCACATTTAATGGCCTTTCCTTCTAAGCTTCCATGTTGTTTGACTTGATCATGAGTTTTTGAGGAATGTTTCAGCAGATTGATCCTCCCAGAATAAAGATTCTGGAACGTAGTCATCAACCATCTGGGGGAGTTATAGTGATGGAAGAATAATGAAGGTAGAGATCCTGGGTATTCCGCTGAGATGGACTGGAAATGTTTCAGACTGGCTATCTCAGTATGCTACCCCAGCCACTGTGCTTGACAGCTCAGGATCATCATATTATCTTCCAAATCCCACACATTTTAAATGAGAGATTTCATGGAAGGCTATATTTTTCATCCTTTTTTTTTATCACCCGTACTGTTAAATTACATAATTGAAGAATATTCCATCGATGTCTCTCATGGAGGAGTTTTTAAATCTTATATATTTTCTCTTAGTAACAATCTGAAGACCTGTGTGTGTCCATTCGTTTTATGGCAGCCGAGTGGATTAAGTTAGCTCAAAAGCACTTACCATTGTCTATGAGACAGAAAAATAGCAAGGATTCTGATTGGCGTTTTTATTTATTATTTTTGAATTCCAGTGGTGCATTTTCATGGCAGACTCATTTCTATGCTCAATGACATGCATGATTGAGAAGGCTCTGCTTTGCTAAGAGGTAATTTGATTCTCTTAATTTTCTCTATAGGAACTGGATTTTGAAGCCAAAACAAGTTATACTTTACGGATAGAAGCCGCAAATAAAGATGCTGACCCTCGTTTTCTGAGTTTGGGACCATTCAGTGATACGACAACCGTGAAGATAATTGTGGAGGACGTGGACGAGCCCCCCGTGTTTTCCTCTCCCTTTTACCCCATGGAGGTATCAGAAGCTACTCAGGTTGGGAATATCATTGGCACTGTTGCAGCTCATGATCCAGACTCTTCCAACAGCCCTGTGAGGTAAAGGCTCAAAACTTTGCTTTTCTCCCATGTTAAGTGCGTGTGCCAGCATTCACCACCCATGTTTCTGCATTGTGATGCCTCTCTGTTCATAGGAACACGGCAGAAGTGAACAGGATCAGAACAACATGACGTTTTACTGATTTATTTTAATTTCAAAAAGAACAAAATAATTTTGAACACTTTGTTGATAGTTTATAATCTGAGTTCAACAATGTGCTTTAATGTGTACATGTACTTATGTGTGTGTGTGTGTATGATAAGTGATTCTTATATTTTTAGTAACTATTAAAATAGAATATACTTGAAATAAGATGACCATCATATTACAGGTCTTAACTTGAGTTTGGAAGATACTACATTTTGCAATGTGAAAGTGGGATTTTTAAATAAAAGGAGTATAGGTTAAAAAAACAGTAATTATCTCCTATTCAGATATATTCAGTTGATTAGCTAATCTCAGACTTTTACATTTGAATGATGCTTAACAATGGTAAGTGCTTTTGAGCTAACTTTTGAGCTTAGTCTGGATGTTGTCTACAAAGTGTCATGGATATTATTGGTAATTTACAAAATGATTCTTGTACTAATATATGCTAATAATATTCCTTATTTCCTCAAGTAATACATAGATTACTTTAAGTAGTAAGTTCGAGCTTTCCTTTCTTTTTTTTTCCTACCAGTAATAGAACCTAGTAAAGAATTGGCATGAAATCATACTGATTGTTTATTTATCTATGCAATAAATTCAGGTTATGTGGGTGGCAATCCTACTTTTAATGTGGTAATTATAAATCATATCTGGCATATTTTGAGTCACCAATGTACCAGATAAATAAACTAACTCCTGCCCCTTTAATCCCTCTGCTTTCGTTGTCAAAACAGCTCCCTGACTTAAGCTCAATCACACTCAGCAACTGACTTGGCAAGATTTGAATTTGAGTTGTGCAGCTCTTGGTAGAACACCAAGTCTTCTGCACTCTTGACAATAGCCAGCTGCACAACCATAGGCCTAGAGAAAACTACCTAGGATAGCTTGACTTCTGTTTTTCATTTAATGGCAAGATATTGAGACATGTTTCATGGAGTTGGGAATACAGAAAAGGACAAAGACACTAATATATATCATAATTTATTAGAAAATGAATGAATATAGTTAAGAACATTTTGAATGATTGTACTGATATTTTTATATTGCTTCTTATTTTTTCTTTACTCATTATCTTGTGTGTCAGTCTTTTGAAGCTGTTCTGAGGATATTTCTCTTTTACATTTTGTTTGAAGAACATTAACAATAGTGCTATTTAATAACAAGGTAAAACAGGAAGAGTAGGCTCCAGTGAGTACTTCAGTTGGAGAGAGATGACATGAATGTCAGGTTTACTGTTGGGCACACAAACATGGAGAACTTCAACGACTGAACTCTGTTGATTTTGAAGGCCAGGAACTCTGTGACCTTACCAGTGAAGGAGTATCTGTCTATTATTAAATATACCCCTACTTTTCAATTTCTTAAATGTAGTTAAAATTAGTATTAATTTACATTAATATCTCAGAAATACATAGGTTGACTTTGTCTTACGTGAATTAAAATATTATTTGTATGTGCTTTTTTGTAGAATTGATTTACTGACTTATGTTTAATACTTGTACACTTGAAGCATTTCTTCATACTTTTTCATAAGGTCAGCATGATAATTCATAGCTTAAATTTCTGTTGGATTTGTCACTCACATATTTCTCTTCCCCTATCCATATGTGATAACTTTTAAGAAACATGTGTTCTCATTTTATACTTTAGTGAAAATGCTTACTCTCATGCTTTGCCTGAAAGATTGGTTGGTTTTCTCCAGCACTTCTATCTGTTGCTTGGTTTAGGGCCTGTCACTTAGTTGCCTAACGTTTGATTTAAGCCAACAAAAACTCTGTCTCAGGTCTTTTGAGCAATTAAATTAAACAGGAAACATGAATGGTGCTTTTAAATTGAGACTTGTGACTTGAATGTGAGCAAGTATTCACATTATGATTGCGATTATGAAATATTATGATATTTTCAGGCCACTTTATTTCAGTCAATATAGACAGTGAAAAGAGAGATGTTTTATATATATAACCATATTGACTGTCTATATTGAATATTATTTTATACTCACATATATTCCACATATAGAAAATACTACATGCATGCGAATTTGTCTTTGTATGGGACACTCATGCCACCATCAGAATGTAAACCCTGCTCCAACATATGCCAAACGATGCATAAACTGGTTTCTAAAGTATTAAGAAAACAAATCTCCAGATTGAAAAAGAAATGAAGAATCTTAACAAATGATCGCTTTGTTCTTCTGTTGCTTTTGAAATATTACAGTTCTTGATGACTGGAAAAGCAGCATTTATTTCATAAAACCAACCAAAGCCCATTCCTAACCCCCCCATTGTAATTGTTTAAAATTAGATCAGTAGTATTAAAATTGTAAAATAAAGTGGGCTAATGAAAAAATTATTTTCACTCTATTGACATTTTTGTTTTATAATACTGAAATATAATATGTGTCATTTATGCTTGAAATATTTACTGATATGTGGGGCAAGAGATTAGAGTTCTAGAGATAAAGATACTTACTTGTCTCAAGCATGGTGAAATTGAGATCCCTGGCCGGCACCGCGGCTCAATAGGCTAATCCTCTGCCTGTGGTGCCGGAACACCGGGTTCTAGTCCTGGTGGAGGTGCCGGATTCTGTCCCAGTTGCTCCTCTTCCAGGCCAGCTTCTGCTGTGGCCTGGGAGTGCAGTGGAGGATGGCCCAAGTGTTTGGGCCCTGCACCCCATGGGAGACCAGGAGAAGCTCCTGGCTCCTGGCTTCAGATCAGCGCGGTGCACCGGCCGCAGCGCACCAGCCGAGGGTGAACCAATGGCAAAGGAAGACCTTTCTCTCTGTCTTTCTCTCTCTCACTGTCCACTCTGCCTGTTCAAAAAAAAAAAAAAAAAAAAAAAAAAAAATGAAATTGAGATCCCTGCCTTGCCAAGCATTTTAAAAATTCCACCTCCTTGATTAAAACACCAACCAAAGCCCATTCCTAACCCCTCCCCATGCACTTGACTTTCCTAAAAAGAATACTGGAGTACCTATATGACTAGTGGCACCTTGCTATTTTGACTATTGACAACTGTAGTAGTCACAAATGAAAAAAGTTTTTTTTTTTTTAAATTCTGGGGAAATTTTATTTATTTTGAAAGGCAAAAAGAGGAAGAGAGAGGGACAGAGATCCCTCATCCACTGGTTCATTCCCCAAATGCCCACAGTAGCTGGAGTAGGCCAGGCCAACACCGGTACCTAGAACTCAATCCAGATCTCTCACATGGAAGCAGAGACCCAGGTGTTGTCTGACTCCAAAGGAGTCCATGACAGGAAGTGAGAACTCGAAGCAGAGCTGGGACTGAAACCCAGGCACTCTTAACGTGGGTTGTGGATGTCTCAACCACTGTGCAAAATGCCTGCTCATGGAGAAGGATCAAACGGATCTGGAGCCCACACTCTTGTGTAATGTTATCTCTTTTTTATAATCGTACCACCACCCTGATAGCTTATCTAGACCACTGTTTCATGTATGCTGTTTTTTTTTTTTTAACCCCCATATGGGACCTAAAGCTCCCATCAAAGCTGAAGATAAAAATTAGCTGGTATTTAATTAAAAAATGTATTTTTTTGTGAAAAAATAGGCAACTGAGGGTAAATTCATTTCTGGCTTCTTTTCTTTGAAGTAATTATTTGCCTGATTTCATATGAATTCTGCCCTTGAGTGCTAAATATCAGGCCTTACCCATGGAACTGGGAAGGGTTTATTATGGTCTGCTGAGTCTGATCATCTTTTGAAATGGCAGAAATTCCACTTCTGTGTTTCTAATTCACAGTGGTAAAAATGGCAGGATCAGCCTGGAGTCTAAAGGACTCCAACTCATTCCTCATGTCAGCATTGGCATACTGATCAATGACTCAACATGCCATTAAGAGTGCGCTCTGTGCAAGACACTGGGGGAGATGCTGATGGGAAACAAAGATGAATAAAACCTTTTCTTTGACCTCAGGGAACTAGAATCTGCATGAGGTAACAAACTCCTCTAAAAGTTAAACATTATGTCCGAAGAAAAATGTCAGCAGTGGAATATGGCAGATTGTGAGATAAATCGTATTTACTCTGAGTTCACTGGACACGAGACTTTGAAGAAGTGATAGCATAGGTGGAGCGCTGAGGGATGGCACAACTTGGACAAGCCAAAGAAACATAATGCAAAATGCATCTATATTATATTTAGTTATAACCTAAGATCCAATTGCTAAGTTATGAAATTAGCAAATTCATTACTTAGGCAGTACTATTTGCCCAAGATCCCATGCTAAGAATAGCCAATGATTCAAAACATGATATTATCACAAAGAAGATCAGATGTGAAGACAGATGAACCAAAATAGCTTGCATTCATTTTTAGCATTTCTAACATTTTAAATAGATAACTGTGTTTATATTTATGTTCAAAGATATTTTTGTGATATGTACTTGTAGGTTCTTTTGACATCCCTTGTATTCTGTGTTCTCAAATAAAAACTATAAAATACCACCAGAGATAATATTATGTAATGTGACTAGTATGAACATATTTGGGGGTATTTAAATAATTCAGTGTGTATTTTAAGTAGCTTGTAGCATGCATGCATTTGTCAACATTATTCTAAGTTGTGACTATCTGGATTTTATAAGAAACAGTGAGCCAGTAACATCTACAAAATAGTGCTGGCAATAAAACTGGTTAATTTCAAAAGTAACAGAAACTAAGCTATAATTTTGAAAATGCTACTTATTTTAATGTTAACTACCACTAAAAATTAAAAAAAGTATTTAGGTATGGTGAAAATATAAAATGCATTTTTGTTTGAGTGGAGTGCTATATATACAGAACTGCTTTTCAAAAGGTGTTAAGAAAGAAATGTCTGGTTTATTA